GTGCTCACTTTAGAGAATCTGTATGTATTTAAACTGTAGTGACGTGTTGTGTATGATTGGCTCCTTCTGTCAGACAATTTGGCAGTGCATTGACTTTAATATGCATTTTATTATGCAAAGCTGTGTGTGTGTGTGGGTGTGTGTGTGTGGGGGTGTGTGTGGGTGTGTGTGTGTGCGTGTGTGTGTGTGTGTGTGTATGGGTGAGTCTGCAGGAATGTGTGTTTGGAATCAATTGATTTGCCTTTGAGTGGGGATAGCACTCTGTCCAGCAGGTAACATCAGTGACCTTAACGCATGATAATTATGACTATGTTGACTCTTAGTGGTTATACACATCTTCGGGGAAACAACACATGGCTGCCAAAACTGCAATAGAATCAAAGAAACCAATGCTCATGTTGGATGTAAAGTTTAACTTTTGTATGTTGGACCAAATTCCAACCAGTAGAAAAATATCCTGGCTGACATGGTAAAATATTGCAGTGTGATCCCATTTAAACTTGAACATATTATATATGACTCGAATGCCGCAGTAAAGTATATGCAGCTCTCTTTGGCTGCCATCATTTTTTTTCAGTTTTCAATTGCTTTTCTCTCTCTAAGGTTTATCTCACTTGAATCTTTCATAAGGACAAAATTTATCTAAATACAAAGACAGCACGGTTTAGCTCATCTGCTTTTTCTCTTGAAAGGATATAAACTGTTTGTCTATTATGGCCGTGTGAAATCAACATAAATAAGAAGAATGATGTGTAAAAAATGGTTTTGTTCATTTTTATTTTCATTTTGGTGGGAAATAAAAGTCCTCTGATGTTTCTCATAGTGCTTGGTCCATTACCAAGAGATCAATAGCACTTGAGTTGAATGTCATTATGGTTATTAGGCCTGCTTGTCTGCATGGTCATGAGAAATGAGGGCATTATGCAGGGGAGCGTTCTTATGTGTGAGTGAGTACATGAGTGTAATCATAAGTATCTGCCTGTGTTTCCACTGTTGCTCTCATGTTTATTATGCATGAGTGGTGTATGTGCAGACTGCTGATGATCAGGGATATACTGCTGGAGAATGGTAAAGTTTTAACACAATCAATATGGAGTCAGTATAGCTGTAATGTGAGAAGGACTGATTGTACGGAAAGAAGTACAAGCTTAAATATAGATATGGTCAAATCCTACAGAATGGAGATTTAACGATTCTATAGGAATGATTTTGAGATATCAGGACTCTTCAACCCTATAACTACCCTGCTGTGTCAGCCAGTCCAATTAACCATCATGTCAATGTGACTGTGTTCTATGTATGCTAAGAAAATTCAGTAACAGAAAAAAAACTTTCCTTTAGAAACTTGTAAATACTTTGAAATAGAAACATTGGAATGACAGGGACCCATCTGTTGGCTAACATGCATATCAGTAATTATATGATAAAGTACTTTCCCCCTTTGTTAAATCATAAAGTAACTATAATTAACCTTTTTTCCAAAAAAAATAAAAATAATACAAATTTACCAGTCACACCTAGGCCTGACTAGTAGTTTACTAATAGTATCAAAAAATACTTGAAGGGAACCTGAACACCATGACTATGAACATATTTTTAAAGCTATCAATTAAAGATTATTTCAAAAATTCTCATTAATTCTCAAATTGCTTTTGAGAAATAGTTTATGCTCTATATCTAATCAACATGGTTCCTAATATCTGCAGATATTAGTTATAATAACTGTATAACCTGACTAAAAATAAATAAATAAAATTTAAACGAGGCACCTACTATTTCTTTTCTTGACCATGTTTATATCTAAAGTAAGTAAGGCAAGTTATTTTTGTTGATATATTACCACATATTTTCTTTTATATTCATAGTGTTTGTCTGAAAACATACTGTTCAATACATCTTCTTTAAGATGTGTTGAACATAATGTAACATAGTGTGGCATGAAAATACAAATTCTCTGTACTATTCAAATAACTTAAATGAGCTAGAAAAACTGAGTAAGACTGAGCTACTCTAGGCTGAAGAGTTGCTGGTTATGTAATTTTGGTGAAGAATTGTTCAGTCTTTCTTGGCCTTTACCGTACAATAAATGGACAGAAAAAATGGAGAAGAAAGAAGGGAGAGATATGCAGTCAATGGCCTGAGAACAGATCATTGAGGATCACAGCACATTGATGACTGCAGCCTTTACACATGGTGCATACACACTACCATCTGAGCCAGCCAGCACCCCCTAAGTTAATAATTAATTCTTGAGTAGTTTTGTCTGGTGTCTCAGACTTTATGTGCATATTATACAAGAAGGTTGACAAAAGAGAAAGCTAGAAAAGTGAGTGAAAACTAGGACATCCATATGGGTGGGAGGAAAGCAGGGAAATGGGACAGAGGATAAAGGATAAGACAGCCACTAACTCAGAGTGAAAAGAGAAAGAAGAGGGTGTAAATTTGATATAATAAAAGATATAAAACTTTAAAAAATGAATCAACTGAAAGAGTGACTGGATATTGTCTAGGTATGGGCATTAATATTTTATTTAACGTTTTTTTTTAATTATGGAAAACTTGATACTCCTAAAGAGAATTTTGATTCTATTCTTACGCTAGAATCAGTGAAAAAAAGTGATTCTAGCCAATGACAGTGTGTGAAAGTGGACTGAGGTATTTTGAACGCCGATCTTTCCTTTATTATAAAAGTTCTGAAGTACATCTTCACTTACTTAGATGGAGTGCTTGATTTAATAATACTTTTCTCAAGTTTCACTTCTCATACTTATCACATAGAGCCATGGGGCACCGGCATCATCATCAAAGCTGACATCAAAGTAAAACCGTATGGTTTTTGCTGGGATGCAAATAGCTTTTTATGTAAATAAAGTCACACAGGCTCGCTCAGAGTAACTTGACAGAGAGGGAGATCAAAGGAAATTGGCATTTCTTGGCACTAATGTGCGTACATGTGCTCACATTATTTCAGAAAATGTGGAGGGTAACCATGGAAGGTAACTGAGATGAGCAAGAAATGGAGAGATGGTATGGGATGACAGGATGCAAGAATAGTGAGGGGGAAGTTAGGGTGGCTGAGAGAGAGTGAAAGACAGCAGAAGGCAGAGAGAACAAACAGTGTCAGGTTAATGTTAATAGGGCCAAAGATCTTGTCCTATTAAATATAGATGACTCTGTTATGGGACATGAAATATACATGAAACACTGCGTTGACATCTATATCGTCTGTGTTAAGAGCCATGTCTGAGTAGACCAGCAGGAGGAAGAGTGCTTCAGTTGAAAAAAAGAAGGTATTGTGGAGAGAAACAAAGGAAGGATGTACAGGAACACAAAGAAAAACTGGGGGAAAAAAGATATCTAAACAAGACGAGGAACATGACAGTATTTGATCTGAGGCCAGTTGGGGCATCTTTTTTTCCCTCTTTTCTTCATCCACAGTTTTGTTTCCTGAGATGGGAATCAATATTTTATTGTTGTTTCTTGTTGTGCTGCTGATCGGCTGTGCTTCAGTCTTAATCTGAGGTCTTCACTCCTCGCGGTCACGGCAAGTCTCTTGAGACCTATCTACAGAGCAGGGCTGCTAACCCCTGATGTCCCAGCTGAAGCTCCCATTAGGCTCACATAAATCCCTTAACCCTAGAGGTCATGTTACCTACAAGTTTTCTGACAAACTACTGTTGACTTCAGTAGCAAGATAGTTGACATGAGGATAAAAGTATAATAGCGATTTTCAGTAAGTCTTTTATTTCTGGTAAGGCTCTCTGTATAGAATAGAATGTGAACTCTTTACCTCACTTCAAACAGAGAGGGGGAAAAGCCCAGTGCTATTAATAGACTGCAAAATTCCTTTAAAACTCCAGTTTTTCCACATTCTCTTTCTGTGCTACAATAAATCTGATGCTAAGTAAGGCTTTCAGCGGGACAGCAAAGCCAAACAATGATTGAGTACAGATATATTTCTTGTAACACTGTTTTTCCTTCACCATTCTTAGATTAGTTAAACTTTTGTCAAGAAAGGATTTTTTATTTTCTCAGTTTCTCAAAGTATTGGTAAAAGGAAAACAGTTGCTCATTGAGAAATATAAATGTTTTTCTTATGACTGTATCTGTTCATTAGCCTACAGCCAGCATGCACAGAGTGGGATTACTGGCTCTATGCTGGCATACTGGTTTTTAAAGTTCGGAGTCAATATGACCTTTCACCAACTTATACTGTTCTTTTGTACACACTTAATCATTTCATTTTCACTCTACCTCCACCATGTACCCACTAACAAATATTTCTTTCTTTCTTCATCAGTGTATTTATTGTTTTCCACCTATCCAGAATAGACTTGGAGAGACAATTCTATGGAAACCCAGAAATTTCTTTGCCAGCAAGATTACCCTGCTCTTTCTAGGAGACAATGAGGTGTACCCACGCTACAAATAATATATAGTCTTTTCAGTGGGTTTTCCCCTGCGTCTCTTCACAGTGTAATGTATTTGAACAACCTCCAAAGGAAGGCATTCTAGCCAATGACAGTGGCTAGAATGCCACTAGATGCCAGAGTTGTCATTAGATGCCAGAAGAGCATCAATTGACTCTTTTTAACGTGGAGAGGAAACAGTTCTACTCTGGCCACCTGGCAGAGGATGCTCAGTTTAGTTACTTGGACCTAGAATGTCTTTCTTCCAGGAACAATTCATATTTTTGGAGCGTATGTGAAGGTCATGACATACATTGTCTGTCATCATAAATCATCAATGCTGTAATTTGTATGTATGTTATTTCTCAACGACTTCATATTACACTTTATTTGCTTTGGTGACTTAATACCTATAATCTCATGAAATGTGAGCGCTGTGAAACATTCCCCTGGGGACGAGTTTACACAAGTTAAATGATAAACGTCAGGTACAAAATAATCAAAATTATAAAGGAAAAAAAAAATGCCATCGCACATTTCTTATTACATTTGCCATAGTTCAAACTCTTTTTGTCACTTTTTGCTTTTCAGTTGCAAGAAACCAGTACGAGCGGAGAGGCAGCGATGTCACCATGCAGTGCGGCTCCCTGGAAAGTGATGCATCAGTGTCATGGAAGGTGAACGGGACAGACATCGAGGCCCAGCACCAACTGAATGGACCCAAACTGATTCTGACCCAGGTTGACCTTGACCACAATGGACTCTACAGCTGCTTTCAGAACCCGCATGGAGAAAGACGTGATACCATCTTCCTCCACATTGGCAGTAAGTAACCGAGTACTATTCTCCAAAATGAGATTTGACATTTCCACAGTTCTTCTACAAGCATAAATAAATAATGTAGCAGAATACAATCCAATAATGTAACACACTTAGTCTTTATTTGTGGTTTTATTTAAGAACAAGATGTGTTACAAGGGACATTTAGTTTTAAGATTTTTGTTGTTTGCTCCATAACACTCTTTATCTAATAGATAATCTTAATATGTTTTAACATTTGAATACTCTTATGTTTGTGATGTTAGCATTAAACAGGAATTGTCGTGGCATTCCTTAGTGTTGTGCCTAACACTGGATGGCAAGTTCTAATGATTAGATGTTAAAATGACATTTGGTCTTTTTGCCATTATGACTGGCCATTTTAATAGTCATACAAAAGAAGTTTAAGTGTCAATTTAACAGCATTTCTGAATGGTCTGTGTGATGGCAGCAGCCTCCTTTGAGATCCATTATTTTGATGGGTATGGTTTTATATGCTCAGCCTGTGCATAGTAATACTATTGAGGTGGAATTGACTTGTAAATGATAGCACCCCTTTGAGGATGGTTGGATTGAAAATGTCTTTGTCATATATGGAAGCTTCCGTGTGGGGAAAAAAAAAGGATGTCAAAAAATAAAACCCTGAATAGAATATTTTAATTTTTGCATTGGTTGAATTCCAACCACTGCAGTTTCCATTATTTACACTACATAATGGGAACTGAATACTGTCATTATGTTAAGCATATGGATTACAGTGTATGTAATCCATGTGTAATCCTATCAGTTTGGAAGATCTGGCAGGATCTTCCAAACTGATAGGATTACAGATAATACAATAAGAAAAGGACAATAACAGACTGGCAAGAACAATGGCTAGAAGTAGTCCAAATTTAATATGGCATAAACTACATAAAGTCATGGATCAGTAATCCATGATCATTGATTGTTGATCAATAGTTCAGCCAGGTGTTAATGAACTTTTATCTGGCACCCATTGGTCTCCTTAGTGCATTGTTTTCATGTCCTAAGTGCATGAGCTTTGATACAGGATAGACCCACCCTTTCACCACAGTGTCTGATGACTAATTCTAGCAAAGGAATAGAAAAAAAACAACTGCACCAACTGCATGATGCAATAATTTCAATCTGGACCATTTTTGAAGCCAAAAGGAGGAACTGGCAAGGTGTACCCAATGAAGGGATAAGTGAGTGTACTACAACTTGTAAATAAACCAATAGTTGAGTTACTTTTCTTTAGGTTTATACTGTGATAAAGAACCTTCCATCTTATAGTTATTAGATTATTTATCACTAAACAACAGGATTAGCAATAGTAACATAAAAACATATTAAAGTATTTGCAACAGTTTTCTGGCTGAATGGATTCCACATTTAAAAATAATAAAAAAAAATATGCAGACTATAATTAATCCTATAACTTGAAAAGCAAAAGCTAGTGTTGATTATAAATTGCATATTTTCTAACTACCTATACTGTTTAGCTGTGCTACTGTTGCTGACTTTAAAATAAGAACACACAGAGAAAAGGCATTTATTGCCATGTTGTTTTTATTTCTGTTATCTTGAACAGTTCTAAAAATCACATTGGACAGTATCTGAGGATGAAGACTGATTTTTTTTTTTTTTTTTTTTTTAAAAGCCAGTTTAGTTATGCTGTTTTACTAGTCACTGCAAAGGGGCTTTGGAAATGAATGACAGCCACCTAAACCTATTTGTGCTAAAGTAATTAAAGTATAAACAAACAGATGTATATTAAACTAAAGCAACACAAGTATAAAATTAGTTTGCAAAACTGAGTCAGTTAATCTCGCTTCGGTTCATTAGTAAATCCTGCCTGTGTGATTGCATCTGCTTGTCAACAGAGTCGATAGTAAGCCAAGCACCACACCACCCAAAATTGCACTGCAGTATTGCTGTTAAATGTAACATTTCCATGCAAATGTTTGATGAATGAGACTATATGGGAGCGTGACAGTTTGGTTAATCATATTGGCAATGATGAATTACCAAATGCTAAAACAATACTGAATTAATGAGACTTTTATGTTATGGTAGATTGTGTCAGCAGGGTGAATGATGCAATACATAAACAGTCCAGAAAATTTGTGGATGGAGATGGAGAAAAGGACTAAAATGCAGATGTCTCTGTACAGCCCAGTGTATGAGTGCGTTTCCCTTCACCAGGCGTTGTGTTTCTGCATCATAATGACACTTTGGTGGTCTCAAACTATGCGTGCAAGAGAAAAATAGACTTTCATTGTGTAACCATTCATCAGGGGTCAATTATGACTCTGTGAGAACAATACCTTTGTGGTCTAGCCTGGCATTGAGTTTAATTGCCTTGTTAAGAGTTGCTGATTTTATGACATGTTCAAGACACACACTGGAGCAACATTAATCCTGTTACTGTATACTGGAGAAACTCTTATCAATCTGTTTGTTCTTTATCTGTTTTCCAAATTCATCTCTGTAGGGAGATGAATTTACATTAACTGTCACCTCCAGAGGTTGAATGTGACACGCAGTCATGGCAGTTCTTGTGATTACCATCCTGATGATAGTTTGATTTTATGCAGTGTTTATAACTCACACCAGGGGCTTGTTTTGGTTCTGGAAGATAGCAGAAAGCCATCTGTTTAGTTTTTTTGTTTGTTTGTTTCTTATTATTATTTTTTTGGGTTTATCGCTGCAATGTTTTTTTCTTCTTCTTCATTCCTTTGAAATTCTGAGATAGTCTTTTTTTCAGAAAATGGATCGATACTGCAAGAGTGCAGGCTGTCTGCCTTCACTTTTCCTGTTCTCTGACTTCAGTTTGTGGCCACATTTGTTAGTTTTTTGTTTACACTGGTTCACATTAACAACAGACGACGTCATCCGCTAACTCTGTGTATGCCTGCTGAATTTATGAACCGTGTCAACAAAATGTCAGCACAAGGAGACAGCAGTTGTGTGTTGTGGAAAATTCTCGTGCCGATGCAACGTCTCCTTCCCTTCCTCTTTGCATTATTTCAACACTTTGTAAAACCGTGGGATGCTTACATTTTCTCTGACACTTTAGATACACACAAAGCTTGAGTGGCTTCAAAAAAGTACACGGCAGTAAGCATGAATGTCAGATGGTGTAGTAGCATGGATGTGGATAGATAAACTACCATACATGGGTCACAAGGTGTGTGGTAATCAGTGGAGTCTTTGGACAGTGGTGATTTTTGATGACACATTTGTTTAAACATACGGAGCACTTTGAAAGGAGGCAGAATTAATGTAACTAAAAAAAATTGTCAGGCAGTTGAGTCTTAAACAAGTTGTCTGTCGCTTGTTGTTTAGTGTGTCAAGCGGGAATAATTGCCCCCTTTACTGTGAACAGTGTTAGCACTGAATTAAAATATGAGGGTTTACCATGCGGAGCTAATGAAGCTGAAGTTAGTACTGCATTTTCAGCTTACAATATGGTGCTAAAATAAAAGGCGACTTGGATGTTTCATAAAAAATCTGGATTGCATTTTAACAATCTAGTTCAAAATCTAAGATTTTTTACTAAACGATGGGCAAAGGTGACTTTAGACCCAAATCACAGGTGGTAATATAGGAAATATGGCTCACAGTCAAGCCTGCAATGCATTCCCCAATCCTCAGAAATTATTTAAAATATAGTTTGAAAATAAAATGAGCTGGGGACATGAGAGGCAACTTGCCCTTGCTGCTAGAACTAGAGCAGCAATCACTGGCTGTTACTGTATATGACATGTTTCTTTCCTGATAGTTATTCAAGTCATTTAAGATTAGGAAGTCCAAGTATAGGTCATTAAAAAATATGATTTAATTTAGAATATAACAGCACATCCAGTTCTATCAGTTACTATCAGTCACATTAGTGTGATTCTGTCCCTGTTAATCTATCTATGGTGTTCCAGGTGCTGAATTATGATTTCTGTAAATATTGTAACTGTTATTTTTATCTGTAGAAACAGATAAAAAGAACTTGCATCCATTTTTATCTGTAGAAACAGATAAAAATAACAGATTTTGAACCAACAGCAGTTTGTAAAGGAGTGCCTTTTGTTTGTAAAGATAATTATGATTATGCAAATGCACCTACAGTCTTCTCTAACACTAAGTTCTGCTCCCGCTGTGTATTCTTTTATTCACAGTAAACATATCTGTTTTGATTTGACTCACTAATGATTTGACTTGTTTGGGTTACAAATAAAGTTGCTTCCCTTCATCATAAACAGTACTCTTCTCAAACTGACCAAATATTGTTGCAGTGTGCGGTGCAGGTCACATGACACAGCTAGAAAATTGCTGCAGCCAATACAATGTTTTCCACTGTGAGCTTGTTTGCAAAATGTAAAACAGAGATTCTTAGAATTAACAGATAATGGTCAAAGCTTAAAATACAAGCAGGGAACTTCAGAATAGGCAGATTTGTAAAAAACGTAATGTTGTGAAATGATCCTCTAGTTCATAGAGTTGTGAATGACACACAATTCACTCTACATCACACAAACATGCTTTGACAGGAATCTTGAGGTGTTACTGAGGACCAGTGACATTCCAACCTAAAACCACCCAGATGATTGATCTTGGGGTTTTAGATACAAGTTTGAGAAAATGTTATTTTCTTCTGAATTTGACTTTATAAATCTCTGAGAATCCAACAGCCTTGCACAGTAAATTGAACTGCAAAAAACAAAAAACAAAAAAAAAAACAAAAAAATGGGACAAATACATGGGGTTAAAGGAGTCATTTTCTCTGTCATGGAAGCCATTCTTTCACAAATGCGCTGATCTGACATTTAGTGGTGAAATTGTTATAACCCTCAATACCCCTCCAGGCTGGACAAATCTTGCAGTCTAACACCTCGTTGATTGCTATTCTGCTACTCAGTCACTCAGCATGCCAGCTGATGAAAGATGGGGAATTTCTTTCCCTTTTAGTGACCTCTGTAACAGTGATGTTTTTTTGTTTGTTTATCTTA